AGCTGTAGGAGCAGGATTTTGTCTCAGAAACCTGAGGATGACAAGGAAAAGCCATATCATACAGCTGTTGGCAACATATATATGTTCATAGCCTGCATATCGCTAGAGGAAGGTGAAACCTGCTTCCAACAGCACGCTGATTATTTCCCATGGAGTCACATGTGATGTCTCTAGTGTTACTACTCCAAAATTCAGTGACTACTAACAAAGACAGAGGAATAGAGGAAAAATGCTTATTTTTTCACACAACCAGATGACAGTTCTGGTCTTATTTTGATTTACGTGCTAGGTTTCATTTGGCTCTCACTTTCCACTGGCTTCAGTCAGAAGGGACTCGAAGATACCCAATGGAGTATGAGATACATGGAATCTGAGTTACCACACTTAACAAATGCCATAAAAGTACTACTGTAATGCCAATGGTATGACTTTAGACTTACTTATACTTGTTATCCCATAATCTCAGGAGCATTAGACAGGTGAATTCTGCTATCTCTTGTCACCCACTGAAACAGGAGCAGCACCTTACCAAATAAGATATTTTAAGTAGGGCTATCATAAGTGAAGCAAGCAGCTGCCCAACTAAAAAAAGCAAATTTGAAAATGCTATTTTCTCCTAACAATAATTGTTGCCCATTCAGATTTGCAGAAATCACTCCTATTTAACCAATAATCTCACTAAAGCTAATAAGGTCATTTAACAAAAAAAAAAAACCCCAAAAAACAAAAACATATGTGCTGAAAGAAGGGGTCTAGCTTGCAGCCACTGACATCCTGGAGGTCTGTGGAGTGAACACTGTGGGGCTACACAAACTCAGCAGCCGTGAGTTGCTCTGCACAGTGCATAACCCTGGGCAGAAAAGCATCTGCCAGAAAATGTGAACAAAGATATGATTTTGCTTCAGCTACAGAGGGAGCCTGATTCCCGGAACTGAATACCAAGGTTGAAACTAGCCAGTCATCATTACAGTTTCAAAGATGAATGTTTTTTTTTTAAACACAATTCGAAATACCAGGCAGTCAGAGGCAGAGAACTCAAGTCCTACTCTGGCTTTCTTTAAGTGCATGAGATACGAACAGCTTGTTCTATAGAACTCATCACTCAGTCTTGTCTAAAGCATCTTTATGCTGTGGGAGTGTTTCGTTGTCCTCTGTTGCCAAGAGGAGGTCTAGCACAGGCCTAGTTACACAAACATTAATTTCTCCAAGAAATATACTTACAGCAATGCACTTGGAGAAATGCCTCAAGTATTAAAAAACAGCTCCTAAAAAGAAACTCTTATTATCTCAATATGGGTGCAAGACTAGTGAATCTAAAGGCCCATATGAAACCAATTTCATGCAATTTCGTAGCCATATATAATTGGGGCGTGTGTGTATGTGTGTATAATTGGTTTCAAATGCAGGTCACAATGGATTGACTGAAGCTTCTGGCTCTTTGTCAGTCCAGTGTATTCCACCACTGTTTGAACAACAGTTTTCTATTTAGAGGTAACTGGTAACCATCCTGCCCTTCTTGCATTGAAAGAATGAAACCCGTTACCCTGTATCAAGGCAAAGATTAATATCTGATTTGAAGAAAAGACTTCACGTGTGCTTTGTTTACGACTGGCAGTGATTTTAAGCCACATGTTTTTTTTAATGGTCTGGTAACTTTTACTTTCCTCCTTTTTAATCATTTCTGGGGGGAAGGTGAAGAAGGAAAATTTCCTCTGCTCATATGAGCTGAAAATGCCAGTCTGTATGTGAAAAGAATACTCATGGAGAACCTCATAATCACTAGTTTCGTATGCTAGTTGCTTACTGCTTAATGAAGGGGAAATGAGTATTTCTTTAAAAACAAAGCTCTACCAATGCTGAAGTTTGCAAACTCTGGTACCATCTTTTACTGCAGTACACCCCAATGAAGTAACTCCCTGGAAGGTTCCAAGAGCTGGCAAAGGAACCCTGGACAACATCTTCATAAATGGTACCTGTGCGACTCCTTTTTCTTACATGAGGTTAGGAAGACCTTGGCAGTACAAGATACTTCGACAAAGTCCCGGTTTCAGGAGGGAATACTTGCATTAAGGCCAAAGTCAAGCAGAAGCTGACTTTGATGATGATGAAGATGGCTCCTGTCTACATTTCCCTTGTGTGGGCAGACCTTGAATTACATGGCTGAGTCAGGAAAGCGCCAGTGTGCCCAAACCCACACCACTGAGTATTTCAGTAGCAACATCTTTGAATCCAGCTTTACACTGGTCTGTATGTGAACCTGGTAAACTCACTCATCTGTCTGATATAGACAAAACACCTGACATTCCTATGCAGCATATTTTGAGTACAGTACATGGAAAGTACTGACAAAGTGGAGTATTACTTTGTGTATGCGTGTGAAAAATTCAAGCAACTTTTGAGCTTTTCAAACTGGGCCATGAAATGTTGCACAATGAACAACCAGCAAGTCAAAAAAATTAGGTGAGGAAAGAGAGAGACTTCTGATTTTTCGCAGTGCTTAAAGATAGCCTTCAGTGAACAGACGTGGCAAAAAGTCACAAAGAAAAGAAACAGTACACAGGAAAACGTAATTGGATAAAAAAGTTACAGGAAACAATGCATACATTAAAATACTCTATGTTTGTATGCAAATCTCGCTCTAGAAACTGTAAAGCTTTCTGCAGAGTTTCAACTAGTAACACATATATGAGACAGGCTATCTTACAGATAGAAACATTAAGGTTACCACCAACATTAAGGGACTGACCCCTGAATCACCCCATCACCCATTAGTGACAGGACTGGGACTACAATCCTGTTCTTCTCACCCCTGTGGACTTCTCACTCATGTTCTCATACAGCAGCCATATGACTGTTTATAAAATGACATGCCTGGTTAGCAGAAGGACTGTGGTGAACATGATTAGAAAAAACTTTCAAGAGCACCTTAAAATACATGAAATTTAAAAAACAATATAAAGAAAACGTGGAACATTTCTGTGTACAACTAAGTCACTACAGAGGGTGAAATTCAAATGTATCATCTGTACATCCCAAATCTGCACCTCTTCTGTTAGAGCAACAGTGTATTTAAACACATAATATGATCTGGCATCACCTGAGAAGATATTTCAGCAAATACCTTTTCATGTGTGTAAGCAGGTATGTCCATGAAATAAAGAAGGCCCCTGGAAACCTGTACCTTCTAGAATGGACCTGTCACATTGTCTGCAACATATTACAGGTGTATCCTGTATTGGACACGAGCCCACTGGGACAGGGCATGTTCTCCCAGAAGAGAGCATCATTTATTTTTAAATAGGTAGCTGGGTTTCTCCAGCCCTTGCAATACTGCAAAAGAACGCGAAGAGAGGCACTAGAGCATACCTTTAAAAAACTCTGGTGAGGAAGCAAACAATCAAAATTTAACTTTCAGCTAGGATATAAACCCTTTATGTTGCATCACTTAAGAAACACAAACAAAGGATATAAAGTTACCATCAAGTGCAGTGGTATTTTAGTTGGTCCTTTGGCAGAGATTTTCTCCCACAGACCCCTTCGCACGTACCGGACAGTAGTGCCTGCGATCTGAAACTCACCAGGAAGCTCAATTTTCCAGTCGCTGTTAATGGATCTCTTACTGGAATCTTTTAAAGCTGGAATGAATCAAACACCATGGAATGAAATGTAAGCGAATTGGTAATTACAATATAGACTACTGAGCTTCTGTCTCAGCCCACCTGAAGTACAAGATGCAGTAGCGTTGTAATGGACATGAGTTTAAAAGAAAAAAAAAAAAAAGTATATTTTTAGCTTATTCATCATAATGTTTCTAATTTGGGCATATTCTGTATTTCAGTTGATGAAGGCATTTCTGATTATATTAACATTGCTATTAAGTAACAATAATGTCATACAAGCTGGTCTTGCTAAGGTTTTACTACCTAAAATTATTATGTTCTGCCTTCCGAATAAGCAATGTTCTCCAGTTTGAAAACTTCAAGGCATTCTCTGTGCCATTCCGCTGCCAGAAAATTTAAAGGGAAGAATAAAAGAGTGTCCAGAAGGAGTTACAAAGGAAATAAAAGGAAGGAAAGATAACTAGCCACTGTTCTTGAAAAAAATACTACTAATTTAGGACTAAATTGTAGAACTCTTCCACAGTTTGACCTATTTCAGGAGCATGTCCAAAACCCACACATACTCATGGCATGTTGTTGAATGCACTTACGTGTACAGCTCTGCTTTTGCAAAGGAAAGCTTGCACAACCAAAACGTTTTTCTTTGATTTTCAGTGAAGAGAGATTTAATTTGGATTTAAAAGCAATACTATGATACTACAGCATTGTGCTAACAAGCAAGAACCACAAAATAGAAGTAACTGACTAGGAAAGTGCAAAACTTACTAGCCCGTTTTCCTTACCCAAGCTGAGCGGAGTGCAGATTGTAAACAGAGAGCATAATTAGAGAACAATCAGTTAGAGCCATTAATTCTTCCTGGAATAATCTAAATATTATTTGTCAAAGTTTACATGGGAAACATGTAGGCATGTATGTAAAATGAACATGCCCGGAATATCTGGTATATTGGAAATTAATACTTAGATCACTTTAAGGATTGTTCTCAAATCTAACTATTTAGACTTTAGTCTTAGAAAAATGGATGGTACCATAAATTTGGACACATATACCAAATTGGCAGACATGATGTAAGAATCTAATACCACAGAGTAGCTGCTTGAGTATGACCTGAAGATACTTCTGATAAAACACTTACATAGTTGCAATGTTATACTCTTAGAGCTATTAAAACTAGTACTTAAGGTGAAATAGTATGAGAGCACCAGTGGTTGTAAACTGAAGTCTGGTTTGCAAGGCACAATCTATATATTTTTTGTAGACTGCCCATCCTGAGACTGACAAAATCTGGCAGCAGTTGTGTTCAAAGATGCTCATTCAGATAGTATATAAGGAAACCTATGCTGATCTTCAAGCATTAATAAATAAAATTCATAGATCATTTACCTCTAAACTCTCCTTCCAAATGTAGCAAGACCACTCTGCATTTTTCTTTTCAGTTTCCAAGTAGAACCAGCTTTTGAAACTGTATTTTCCTAAACTTTCCTTGAGAAAAAGATCCATAAAATCTCTGTGTTGATACACACATAAAGATGGGCAAGCATGAAAGAAAACTGTTCCTGAGTTTGTGTGTGCTCCGTAATGCAAACATTGAACCAGTTAACATTTAGCTGTTGCAGTTATAAAGAGAAGTCAAGTTACAAAGCAGAGACTGCTCAGTGGACAGACTGTGACTTGGCAGATCAGCTTAATACCCCCTTGTGCTCAAGCCGGGAGGGCAGAATATTCCAACCTGCAAACACTACACACAGACACAATTTAGAGTGGCCCGTAGGTTGTTCTAAATTACACCAGAGACTTTTTCGCAAGTTAAAAAAGTGGACAGGCATTATAAAGCTCCAGCGTGAGAAATAAGTAGAACTTATGATCAGGATAATTCCTGATGCCTTCTTTGCTCTCAAAAGGCAGAAGCAGGTGAGATACAATCTACCCCTGTGTTTGATGGAAACTAGGCCACAAATAAAAAACATCAGCAGGTAAGGTACAGCGTGCCACAGCCACCCTCCTTTCAGAGTCCATGAGCTGGACACAAATGCATAAGGTCAGATACTGCAGGATCACATCCATCCTGTCAGGAAGTTCCTCTATGCATCAGTAAGGTCAACAAAGCAAGCTATACTGCAGAAGGAAGCACTGTAAGATGAATACTGAGAAGAAAAAATACTTGGAGTAACGTGTCCTTCCTTCCAGCGTAACTTATTACATCAGCATCACTGATACCCTTCAAACACTGAAAGACAACTCCAGCCCTAAGGACATCACATTACTGTTGACTTGTCAGTGCAAGTTCATTTAGGCATTTATGTGTTTTCTACATTAAAAAGGAAGCACAGTTCTTCAGATGTCTGTGTGATGCATGAGGAAAGAGAAAACTGGCAGACCCTGTTCTAACAGATAGAAAGTCCCAGGTCTTTTTGTGGAGATCCATACACCGTGATCAAATTTGCCCTGACATCAGACAGACAGAATAGCCCATGTGTTAACTGGGCTTCCTTAGTTCAAGGTTAACTGTGTCTTTTGGCTAAGCCTTTAACAAGATGTTTTCTTAACCTCCAGCATTTCATGCTTATTTTATTCTCTTCCAGTAAAAAACACAACCTTGGCTTTCACTTAACGGAGTGTGTAAGAGGAGCTGATTTAAAGCTTTTTTAAGTCAACAGGAAAATCTCTCATTGTCTTCTCTTTGATCAAGTCCCCATAGCCAACAAACCCTTCTAGGTGTGCTTAGGCTCTATATAATTACCTAATATGCATACGAGACAAGGAACTGGACTTGTCAACTGCACAACACAGCTGACTTACCAGTTGGGTCTAATTTACGGTGAGAGTGTTTGTAGCGATACTGGGCTCTTCTACATAGACTTTCCTTTTATTCTAGTTGGCCATGTCTAACACCTTTTATATAGCTATTACAATGAAGATTTCAAGAAGTGAGGGGCCAGCTCACTCCATCCTCAAATGAAGTTTAAGAGGAAGGAAATCCCTGTTAGTTTTCTCTTTAGGGGTTTTCCTGAAAAACTGTTCTATTTGGCTCAACAGGACAAGTGTCTGGCTCTTGACCCCAAAGGGTCTGCTGAATGTAAGAGATACTGATTCTAGCACAGGGCACCATCACAGCAGAAACCTATTTTTAGACTATTCCCCCCAGGCACCTGGGAACATCTATGTTGTTAAATAAAATGGTCCCTAGCATACCTTATAGCCTGGGTCAACTTAAATTCTCCCAAACAACTCCTAGCATGGGTCAAGATCCAGGACTATCCAGGGTCCCTTCTCAATAAGCAGTATGCAGACTGCAGACTGGGACTGAGAGCCAATACACAAGATGCTCCATGACTGCTGGCCTCAGTGCCCAGGAATATTTCAGGGCACATTCAGTTTACCAACTGAGCATCATTGGTAGTGTCTAACCTCTGGGGAAGTCTGGAGCAGGTGGAGGTGCAATGTCCTCTGTGTCTGTGTGTGCCTTTCTGAGGATCTGTATCCTGGGCAGTTAATGGGAAGAAGGTGGACTATCCTGTCCTACTGCACACAACCTTCCTGACGACTGTCATGGTCCCATTAAAGGCTCCAAAATTAGGGGAAACTGCAGGTATGGTTTCCCCGGGAGGAGTAGGATGTATGTGGGGGAATGTTTTTTATGAGGAAAGTTCTCTTTGGCACATAGACTAGGGGTATAACGATGTCCTGGTATTTGCATGCTACAGCAATATAACTCTGTCTGCGGCTTACTTCTCTTCCTGCTTTGTTCCTCAATCTACAAAGTACCTTCTGCAAACTTCAGACAGAATTCTGAAGCAGGATTGCTTTCCTCTGCCAAAGCCTAGTGGCTTCCAGGAAGATCAAAGCAGTCATCACACTGTCCTTGAGGAGCCGTGAACATGAATAAATCAAAGCTGTGGATGAGATAAAAATATCTCCATGCAGTATGGCTGACTAGTAAAGATATCACAGTACATGCTCAAAACAATGTATAAGAGCTTGAATAACTAAACTATGCCTTGGTTCCACCTCATCATCAAAGGAAGATAGCTTGCTGATGAAAAATAAAATGTGTAATCTTTGTGGACCTCTTTTCTGGGAAAGGTTTGATTTTGATTGCTGCAGGCACTGCTCCCTTGGTGACTGAGGAGATGGAGAGTTTTAAAACAGCCCTGTTCCCAAAGGTGCTCCTTGAGGACTGCAGGAATTACACTGGAGACTCCGCAGAGTATTTGGGCCAAAGTGTTTTTGCCACTGTTTGTCTTCATTGCACTCAAGTGCCCCATCAGTAAGGATCAATGCTGCAGCTATAAAACCTCCATGTCTCAAACACAGGGTACTGCTCTTTCTCCAATGGCTTTTGTCACACACAGCTGTTGCAGGCCTGGCTCTGCCTAGCCCCAGAGGTGATAGTACTAAATTCTGTGGGGTAAATAGGGCCTTTTGCTCTTATTGAATGCTGTGCTTTTCACCCAAGCATTGCAGAAGCACTTTGCAAGACAGCAAGTATCTTTACTGCCATTTTAGAGAATAAGCAAAGCATGCAACAAAGAACACTTGCCCAGTCTCCCTGAGAGCTCAGTGGCAGAAGCTGAGGATACCAGGATATACACAGTCTTCTCTGACAAAACTTGTCTGACTGTGGTGGAAAAGCACAAACAGGAAAGCAGTTGTGAGCCCTTTTTGCCAAGCAGCCCTCACTGATTTAAGCTAGCACCCACAGGACTTATTCTGCCTTGGACCACTGGCTGCAGTTCTCCTGGAACTCTATGCCTCAAACAGGGTAGTAAAGCACGGCTCTTTCTCTTCTCCCCACTGTGAGTGCATTTAGGCAGTAGCAAGAATCCACTGTTACATCTCTAAGGTTTTTCTGGCTCAAAGTTGTACAGTAGAAGAGCAAAAGTAAAAGGAACCCCAGCAACAACCCATAACTTTTTTTCTTGTTGGCTGGAAGACAGGAACTGACCAATCTATTTCTAAACCTGGCATCTAGTCAGATCTTTATTTCCACCTTGGGTCCCTCCAGCTTGCTTCCCAGCCTGTGGACACAAACTGCCAAGGCATTTCCTGTTCAAGGTGGTTTTTAAGCATTACAGCCAGCCAAGGCAGCCAGTGTGGGTTGCCTATAGGTGGAGGGAAATTCTTCAGGCACTGCTCCCACCACATGGAATAATGATTCCAAATTATGCTGGGCTCATTTCCAAAGTGCTGTACCCGGTCCTGAGTCAAAATAGGACCTGACTGGACTCAACTTTGTCAGTGTAATTGACATAGAAAATCCATACTCAGAGCTGGTTTTACAATGCATTATGAGGTCTATCAGAGTGATTGGATTTTGTTTTCTTGGTCATCTTTTTTGTCCTGTTGGGACACTCCTGCTGCTATTCTTCAGCTTAGGTTAGCAAGACTTCGGATATCTTTTCTTTGTGCCCAGTGTTCCTTGAAAGAAAAAACCCTGAAGAACTTAGAGAGGTTCTCCTGGGTCCTGACCACGAACCAAACAACTAAAGGCATTCAGCAGCTTTAAAATACCCACATTTTTATCTATCTTTATGTGACCCAAACAGGGCCAAGTCCTGATCTTAAATATGCACAATCCTAATCTTCACCACCCAGTGGGGAAACATCTGCTTTAGTCAAGGTTATGTGGTCACAATGAAGGGCAGTCACTAGCTCCACATAAGACTCTCAGTGCCACAGCTATCTGGCAAAGCCCAAGCCCCAGACAAAAACCCTGTGCAAATCCCACCAAGACAAACAAAAAGGCTGGCTTCCAGAAGGCAGAGTATTTGCAAAACCCAAGGAAACACTGGCTCTCATTGTTCCACCAGTGCTTTGCTATGTCAAACATCTTACGTGTAGGCGTAATCCTCCCCCAGCAAGCTGTCTGCAGCATTGGTGGAAATACTAGCAGTAGTGATTATGTGCTTCCTACCAGGACGTGGCACAAAGGCCAATGCTTTTGACCTATGGGCAGCTGAGTGACATGATTTGCCCTCTTTTTTCCCCCTGAACCTGGAACGAAAGACAGAGAACAAAAGCATCTTTCCTAGTGATATTGCCAACTTTGGTAGCATCTCAAGACAGAAAACCAATGGCACTAGACCTGAAATCCTAAGACACAATCAATATATAAATGTTTTCAGTGGCATCCTATATCGCAGTACTGGATATTAACGTCTCCTTTCAGCTGTGGAGGTGGAAGATTATAAGCAAAAGACATGGAAATCAGAAACCAAGAGTCCTTGTCGGAGCTTTGCTACTGAATCCCTGCATAGCCACGAGCAAGTTGCAACATCTCAGTTTCCCCTTCCACAAAAACAGAGGGCAAAAAGTAATCCTCTCAGAGTTCCTACCACAGGCTTGATATATCTCTGGGAGCAATTCTATCTTTCAGAGTGTTTTTCTATCCTAAAACCTTGCAGTGTCTCTGCTCTGAGAAGCTCACTTTGAGAGAACCAGAACACACACAAGTGAAAACAGTACCTAATACTTCCCAGGCTATGGGGCAGCTGGAACACACATCTGTTCAAACCACTGCAATGAGAATATCTGCATACGGAAGGACTGAAACACTGTTTGATAGGGAAGGACAAAAATCATGTGTTAATGAGCTTATCAATAGCAAGGAGATCTTAGGTTTCACAACGCAGAGACCTCTAAGCTGCAAAAGTTCACTGAACAAAGGAGGAAGTTTGGGATTTTCTCTTGTCATTGTTTTCCCACACAGAATAAAGAACTTAAGAGAGACAGAAGAATTCCCCCGTTTATGCGTGGCCATGCAGCTCGGAGCGTGCAAAGGATGTTTCAATGTGGTGAGTGTTCTTTTGGGCCTTGGACAATTTTCCTTCAACTCCCTGCCCTGCCACAGGCCTCCTGTGTTAAATTCAGGGCAATGGGGCATTAGCATTTCTGTGACTTGGTCTACCTAGAAGTAGGTGGGAGATAAAGCCCTTCATCTATTGCACAGTAATGACACAAAAAGAAATACCCCTAACACTGGAGAGAAGAGGCAGAAGTCCAGACTGACAGATGTATATTGTAGCTAACTGGTTACATTTTACAAATGCCCTTCCAATCTTTAATCGAAGTGATTACTAACTGGACAACAAATTCCTTTACAGACTCTGCCCCACAACAACCTCACATACAAATCTGACCCCTCACCCATGCCTAAAACTTTGTTTCCAACATGGAAAAGAGGAGAGGAAGCCTGTTCCCCTCAAAAGGAATGCGGAAGTAGAAATAAGAAGAGGATTAAACAAAGCGTTTGGCCTGAGAAAATAGAGGCAAGTGGACTAGAGGCTGCAGCTACTGCATCTCAGAGTGCAGGATCAGGTCTTGGGTACAGCATCAAATGAAAACCTGCTGCTGCAGGAAACAGTGCAGGCAACCTCACGGTCAGGTTATTGAGGGATATCAGCTGCCCTGTCCTGCCCCTGCTCCAGTCTGAGCTGGGCGCCTTCCTATCTGTATCTGCCATTCCTTTCTCTGAACACACTGTTCTCTTTCCCACTGCCTCCCAAAGTGTTGTGTGTGCTCCTGGCAGCCATGTTCAAGCCAGTACCAAGTTCTGTTCAGGAACTCTCCTGTCTCTGGTCCTTTCAGGTTACACAGGGCCTGTAAGTGTCACATACTATCACAACAAGCAAACATCAGGAAACCAAGCCATGAAAGCAAGAGATTGCAACAAGAATGAAATCAACAGCCGCATCTTGGCAAAAACAAACCTATCATCTTACAGGTCATTTAGAGAAGGGTCATTTTAACAGAAAACAGAGCTGAGCTTTGAATCAAAACATTTTTTTCTTTTGTCTTTTTACCCAGAAAACTGTGAGCAGGTTTATCCTCAACCACTCTGATCCGCCGGGCACCTGCAGGGATGACAGCTGCTTCGATGTAACCTATGGCAACAAAAGGGCAGATGGATGAGAGCGTGCCACAGCCAGCCAGAGGCATCGATCATTCAGTATCTCACCACGAAAAAAATCAACTCCTGCCCAGGTGGGGAATGGGTGGGAAACACTTCAGATGAGATCCCTGCGTTAGCAGCCAAGTTTCACTGCTGTGACATGCATGGTTATGACTAACATTTCAGCCTGAGAAGAGGGAGAGAAATGCATGTGCGCTGCTTAATCGTGACTTAAGGCTTGTGCTTGGGCCTAATTAGATTTGCTCCCTCTGAATCACCCTGGCTCTCCTGCAGTACTGACAGGGATGCACGAGGAGTGTTCCTGAGCTGATGCAAAGTGCCAGGAGCAACACTGCACATCACAGAACAGACATCTGCGATTTGAAATGAAGTTTCCAATAGATGCCCCTACTTTCCCCTCCCCCGAAAAACTTGCTCAAGGCTGTGAGGAGTATCAGAAACGACTCACTTCCACAAAACATTTTGACAATACTAAAACTAAACAGCAGGAA